AACATTAAGTAACACTTTTGAATCATCACTGTTCCTCGTAACTTCAACTGTTGTATATATAAAAGTTTAAAGAGTCTTAAGATTCACAAGCCATGTATGATTTGATCTTTATAACATCAGAAGCATATTCCTGTTGAAATAGGATTTGTACGTCCTCTGGAATTTTGTAAGGCAAGATGATCATAGCAATCATACCAACATTGATGCACCGGTTTCCATCAGAACTCTGCAGTTTAAGCATGCTTTGGCGGGAATAGTAGGGAGTCCTTGTGTTGCACCTCTTTTGTTCACTTTTTCCATTATTTACTGAAAAAAAATACTTGCAAATTTTAATGCGTTGCCTTCAAACACTCATGAAATGTTGTTCTGGCATACTTATAAAAAAAAAAAATGAAATATTGTTCTGGCATGGTCGTTAGGGTGTTTGTTAGATTCATCAAATTCAAATCAATAGAATTTCTAACAATTTTGAATAAATTACTACTCTTTCAGTTGCATGATAGTGCGATGCAATCTCCTAGATATGACATAGTAAATGACAAATTGTCATCCACTTCTTAGTATGTCATTCAGCTTGCAATTTTACACTGAATTGTGTCAAATTTTGGTATGCAATGCCTTTTCCCTCTCTTAAGTTGTAGTATGATAAGTATACTGACACCAGAAAGCTAAAATGCCAGCTCAAAAGTTCTGCTGATTCATGCCCACACAAGCCATAAGAAAATGAGGCAACATAAGTTGCCTATTGAGTAGTTGAAAAGCTGACAAAGCTTAGACCAAAGGCGGCGAAGATTTCCCATCTTTTGTCTCAGAAAGCAACAAAGATTGAGAGAAACTGGGATTTAACAATTATTTAATTGCAAAAACAGAAGAAAACCTGAATAAAGTAGTTTTAAAAATTGATTGGAGTATTTGGATGTGATGTTCTGTCATTGACTCCTAACATGCTGAGAAAAACCAATGCTTAAAATTCTACTGTAATAAATATGTATGATTTAGCCAAGGTGTTGGTACCACTATTTTTATTACTAATTGCACTTTTTTTTCCCATCAAGATGAAAGAACTTCATTTTGCTTCCTAGAGAACTTGAAGTAACAAATGCAACCATGAAATAGTTCATACATATAATTAATAGTGACATCAATACAAAAGGAAGTGAAATAAATAAACAAAGTTCCATAAAAAATTGAGATGGAATATAATGTTTCTTTGAGTAATAATTCGCAGTTTTCTCTACGCATCATTAATTAAATCCAGATTTCTTACACATCGGAAATTTTCAAGAAAGAAGACTTGAACTATTCAAGGCTAAAGGCTCCTTCTAAAAGAAACCAGATAAGCCATCCTTTCTAACACTATTTTCTTCGATAGGTTTCTTTTAAAAGGACTTACATATCTATGCCTTTATTCTTGTTGATGAGTAATAGATGACTCATGCAACCAAAAAGTTGAGATCCACCAACTTCTTCCTATAAATATATATGCAGAACACATGGCTTGATCAAGCATTGTAACCAAGTCTGTTTGCAAGAATTTAGAGACAGAAGTGTGACATTGATCAAATATGAAGAACCTGCAGCTTCCCCAACATGACACACAACTTACGATCTTCTCAGCAGCACGCCGTGCAGCTGAGAGGTCATCAAAAAAACTTCTAACCGGACCAGCTAACCAGTACCATGTTCTCTCTGCTCCTACAAATCAGTCCCAAAAATTTAAACAGAGTAGATTAGAGTCGGTGATTGATAGGATAAGCAAGCTTGGAGAGAAAGCAGACAATTTTGCAAGTGACATCCGAGAACATGGTAAGTATATTTGCTCATCTCATTTTAGACATGTATTGCTAACCATCAAATCCTGAATTTCATTTCAATTTCATCCCTCTTCTCAACTGAATTGAATTTATCCTAGTATGTATTGGGATAGAACAACTAAGGATGGTAATAATATGTTTTTAACATAGTCTCATATTAAAATTTTTGTAAAAATTGCAGTGAGATTAGGCCCCAAGATAACGGAAACTGTGAAGGGAAAGTTGAGACTGGGGGCTAGAATCATTCAAGTAGGTGGTATGGAAAAAGTATTCAAGCAGAATTCTAGTGTTACAGAAGGAGAGAAACTGTTGAAGGCTTCCCAGTGCTATTTATCAACAACAGCTGGTCCTTTAGCAGGCATTCTTTTCATCTCCACCGAGCAGATTGGCTTTCGCAGTGAGAAATCAATCCAAGTTTCTTCTCCAAATGGAGACTTAATTAGAATTCATTACAAGGTATATATTCATTGTTGGAATCTATATTTTCTACTTGTTTTCTAACATCTTATGTGATGCTGAACTGATATATGTATCCTTTCAGGTCCTTATCCCACTAAGAAAGATCAAGAGAGTCATTGAAAGCGAAAATGTGAAGAAACCATCGCGCAAGTACATGGAAATAGTTACTGTGGATAACTTTGAGTTCTGGTTTATGGGATTCTTAAATTATCAGAAAACATTCAAATATCTTCAGCAGGCAATCTTGCAAGCTCCTTGAATTGAAATTCACTGTACTCTCAAATGTTTTTAAGTTGGGTGAACAAAAGCTATACAGTTGAAATTTTGTACAAATTTTGTTACTTGGGCTTCTTTTGATTCAATGGAAAACAATCTCATGATATATGACTATGTGAAGGAAAATTTGATGTTTCATATATATATATATATATATATATCTTATTTGGACTCTATGGTTGCTCTCTATGTCATAAATCGTTCGTGGGATAATATTCATTCACCTTAACATCTCATTTTTTGCATATTAAACTGTCAAAATCCTTCTATGAATGTTGTCGAAATCCACATCTAGGCTAAATGATCTATAAACTCCTTAAATAGGTCTGGACTTAAATTCTCTCTCCTAGCGTGGATGTTTTTGGTGCTGGCAAATATTTTGTTTTACAGAACAATGAAAAAAATCAAAATCTTTTTGAGATACTTGGCCTTGTTAGGAAAAAAAATGGCTTTAGTGAACCAACTGCTTCCTTTTCTCTTCTCTTGCTGGCAAGCATGTTCCTTCACATCATCTCATATTTAGTCCACAGAAATACTAAATACCCTGTTGTTTTGAAAATTTTGAGCAACACTAATCCAATGTTCTAATAAACTAGGCATAAAAAAAGTGCTAAATCTCTCTACTTGTTGCCCCTATTAACACTAACAGTAAGTTCCCCACGTATTTATAGCACCCTAGAACAGCTTTTTCCTTCTATTAAATTCTCTTCGAACGACCAACTACTGCATTGTGATTTTCTTTCCAGCCATTAGTAGCACCCCAACACGTACAAGCGGCAAGTGTTTTCAAGAATACTTGGGGCATATTTCAAAAATGAAATCTTTAAACAACATGATTATTTAGAAAATGGAACAGTAAGATAAATATATTAACTGCCAAATGAATGGTGACACAGAGATTTTGAATCATGAGAAACTGTTAACCAAACGATCTTCAAACTATTTTCTATTTTTTAGAACCCTGGGAAAAAAGAAAATTATTGTACAAAAATTGAAAACAAGCAGGCCACATCTCTGCAACTGCTTTTTAAATAGCTACGATAGATTAAGAAATGATTAATTAGCATTTGTGGACTCCTTGTCTAACATTTGTCAACATAAACAAAACTGATGGAATTGAAGATGTCAGCACAAATCCTTTTCAGTCTACTCCATGAAAAAAGAAAAGAAAAAAAAAGAGCATGGATGTTCCAGTATTACCATTCACTGCTGCAGTGTTTGCTACTAATAACTGGAATGATGACTACTTCGTAGATCATTAAAAGGAGAAAACGAGGTATAAGAACAATTCTCCTTGTAAATACTTACTGGTCTTAGAACATAGTATTCAATTTCTTGTTACAAAAATCTTCTCAATTGAATTATCCTTACGAATTTGACTTGATCTCAGTAGTCAGGAAGGAGGATGCAGAAATAAACCAAAAAGATATGTCCTTTGAGTTGAAGAATTGTCAGTAAAGGAGGATTCGGAACAGTTTACCGTGGCTATTTAGGTAACTTTCAAGTTGCTGTAAAGATGCTCTCGCCATCCAACATTGAATGACCAATATGATCAGACACACATATATATGTGTTAGAATGTTATATATATATATATGTTGGGCCATTATGTAATTACATTATATTAGTAGGCCCTTGTGTTATTAAGGAGGCTTGTATCCCTTATATAAGCCTATATAGGCTTATTTGGTAGTGTGTCGGTGAAATATATATACATTTGTTCTCTCTCTCTCATGATAAACAACAATATGTAAAAAGATACTTGGAAGATTGTTTCATTCAAACACTGGTGTTTATTAGATTCATTAAATGCAAGACAATAGAACTTCTAGCAATTTTGAATAAAATAATTCTTTTGGTTGCTTGGTAGTGTGATGCAATCTCCTAGACATGACATGTTGCCCATGACAAATTATTCATATTCATTTCAAGCTTAGTACATCATTCAGCTTGCAATTACATTAATTTGTGTCAAATTTTGGTACGCAATGCCTTTGTTGTAGTATGATAAGTATGCTGACACCAGAAAGCAAAAATATCAGCTAAAAGTTCTGCTGATCGATTCACACCCACACAAGCCATGATAAAATGAGGCAACATAAGGTGCCGATCAAGATTGAATACTCGAAAAGCTGACTAAGCTTAGACCAAAGGGCGGCAAAGATTTCCCATCTTTTGTCTCAGAAAGCAACAGAGCTTGAGAGGAAAAAGGATGTGAGATTCTGTCATTATATATATATATATATGAATTAGTCAAGATGAAATGTTTCTTTAAGTAAAAATTCAGAATCTTCTTTACGCGTCATCATTAATTAAATCTATCCAGTTTTCCAACGTATTGGAAATTTTCAAGAAAGAAGACTTGGAACAATTCTTCAAGGCTACAAACTTCCTCTGAAAGGAACCAGATAAGCCATCCTTTCCAACCCTCTTTTCTTCTAAGTTCATTTTAAAAGGTCATACATATATCTATGCCTTTATTCTTGTTGATGAGCCATAGATGACTCATCCAACCAAAAAGTTAAGATCCACCAACTAAACTTTTCGTATAAATATATACGCAGAACACATGGATTGATCAGGCATTGTAACTAAGTCTGTTTGCAAGAGCAAGAAATTTAGAGACACAAGTGTGACATTTTAAGCCATTCATCAAATATGAAGAACCAGCTGCTTCCAGTACATGACGTGCAGTTTCCAATCGGCTCAGCAGCACGCCGAGCTGAGAGGTCATCAAAAAAACTTCTAACTGGACCTGCTTGCCAGTACCATGTTTGCTCTGCTCCTTCGAATCAGTCTCAAAAATTTAGACACGGTAGATTAGAATCGATGATTGATAAGATAAGCAAGCTTGGAGAGAAAGCAGACAATTTTGCAAATGACATCCGAGAACATGGTAAGTATATTTGCTCATATCATTTTAGACATGTATTGCCAGCCATAAAATCCTGAATTTCACTTCAATTTCCTCCCTCTTCTCAACTGAATTGAATTTATCCTAGTATGTATGTGCATAGAACAACTAAGGATGGTAATAATATGTTTTTAACATAGTCTCATATTAATATTTTTGTAAAAATTGCAGTGAGATTAGGCCCCAAGATAACGGAAACTGTGAAGGGGAAGTTGAGACTGGGCGCTAGAATCATTCAAGTAGGTGGTTTCAAAAAAGTATTCAAACAGAATTTTAGTGTTAGAGAAGGAGAGAAGCTGTTGAAGGCTTCCCAATGCTATTTATCAACTACAGCTGGTCCTATAGCAGGAACTCTTTTCATCTCCACCGAGCAGATTGGCTTTCGCAGTGAGAAATCAATCCTAGTTTCTTCTCCAAGTGGAGAATTAGTTAGAATTTATTACAGGGTATATATTCATTGTTGAATATCTATATTTTCTACTTGTTTTCAACTTTCTCATATGATACTTAACTGATATATCATGTATCTTTACAGGTCCTGATCCCATTAAGAAAGATCAAGAGAGTCGTTGAAAGTGAAAATGTGAAGAAACCATCGCGCAAGTACATGGAAATAGGTACTGTGGATAACTTTGAGTTCTGGTTCATGGGATTCCTAAATTATCAGAAAACATTCAAGTATCTTCAGCAGGCAATAATCTCTCAAGCCAATTGAATTGCGATTCACCGTACTCAAATATTTTTATGTTAGGTGAACAAAAGCTATACAGTTGCAATTTTGTACAAATTTTGTTACTTGGGCTTCTTTTGATTCAAAATTGATTCAAAATTGGAGCACCTCAACAACAAGTCAGCATAGTGTTTTCAAGAAAACTTAATTGCCAAAAGAATAGTGACAGATTATGAATTTTTAAACCCCAAGATTATTTAGAAAATGGATCGGTATGATAAAGATATTAATTGCAAAATGAGAGTGACAGAGAGAAGGAATCTAAATGTTGGATCTGTACCCAATCTACTCCCATAACTCTCAGTTAATGAGATGATTCGAAATTAGACTTCAATTCTGCATATAAACTGAAATTTTCCAAATTGGGACACTAGCTTTATTAACTGAACTAAAACACAAGTTCTTTCCACAATCTAACATAAGAAAAACCAACAGGGAAAAAATTGAAAACCAATGTACATGAATCATATACACATTTCGGGTGATAAATATGAAACAGAAGCCACACATTCTGCGAATCCCAAACTAATATATAACATGGACATGAAAAAGAGAGGAGAACATCAAGTAGAAGCAGCCCTCTTCTCCATTTGTTGCAGTAATCCTTGAATGTTCTTTGAGAAGAATATTGGTGTATTATCACAATATTCCAACCTTATTCTCATAATAACACATCCTCAGCTAAATTCCCAGCAAAATTCACTTTACAATATTCAGGAAACTGCAACCCAGCCTCATCACAACCCGCCTTCGTAACATGTGGGCATGACCGCACATCAAGGTATTCAAGATAGTTGCATAACTCCAAAAGCATGCCTATCCCAACCACCGTGATCTTCGGGCAGTTGCTGGCCTTCAAAACTTTCAAACCCAACTCAAAACCTCCATTGCTCAAACCATGAAAAGCAGCATCCGTCACCTCCTCACAGCACCCAATGTCAAGAACCTCTAGATTTCTACATTGAGAGAGGATGCAGTTCAATGAAGAATCAGAAACGTTTAAACACCAGTCCATCCGCAGTTTCTTCAGAGTGTGATTACAAGCAGCGGCCAATGACTTTATGGGCTCATCAGATACGTCCCGGCAGCCACCAATGATAAGAGTCTCGAGATTTTTACAGAATTTGGCCAAGGATAATATGGATTCATCTCCAACTTTATCGCAATCCAACAACTTCAGTGTCTTCAGAGAATATGAACAGGCTTTGGATACATTGGATATCCCAGTATCTCCAATATTTCTGCATTTGTTAATGTCTAAGTGCTCCATCAGTTGACAACCACTAACAAGAACAGTGAGTCCAGAGTCAGTTATGTTGGTGCATCCTTGCAGCCCCAATTCTTCTAATTTATGACAGTTCTTGGAAAGAACTTGTAATGTTGCATCTGTAACAAATTTACAGCCGGCAAGATGCAAGCTTCTCAGATCAGGACAGCCCTCAGCAACAGCAGACAATCCCTTATCTGTCAGCTTTCTGCAGTTGGTTACATCTAAGGACTGTAGAGATGAAAGACCACATCCGATCGCCGCCATTCCAGTATCCGTGATACCTGTAAAAAAGGATGGGGCAGTCACCAATCTAAGAATCTCAAAGGAGTTCTATGATTATGTCTAAAATAAGAATTAGTTGAAATTGATCAAATTTGTGGAGGATGAAGGACCTCTAGAGTATACTAACAAATAGAACACCGGCACATTCAAACTCACCATCATATTTCATTCTGCAGAACCCCATCAGGGCATGTAGATGCAAATCTAAAACAAGCTGATCTCAGACTATTTTTAAGTAACATTTTCAGAAACTGAGACCACGAAAGGAGAATATTACAAGTGACAATAAGAAGCTCCGTCAATAATAAGAATAATCAAATTTTCTACAAGCCCGCTGACTCTTCTAATCTATTTGATGTAAAATTCAATTCAACTATGATGTTTTTCACCTTTTTAAGAGAAAAAGAGAATACCAGAGTTGAAACAAATGAACTCTAGTTTAAAACAGATAGGGCAACATTTGCTCAGCCAAATCAGATACCAAAATTCATCAAACACAAGGCAATATCCATTAGTATATGAAAACAGAGGAAAATTTTCTCAACCTTGACTAGAAGCAATAAATTCGGACTTAAAAGACGAATTTTAACATAATTTCAACTAAGAAAGCTCCTCAACAACTAGAATGCACTTGGATGAAACTTTAAATCACGATGACTGATAAATGTCCTTAAAATTGACTTCTAATACTATAATTGTTGGACTTTTATGCCCCCAAAGTCATTTTTTGTTAGACATTTTATTATATAAATAAGATTTATTATTGATTGTAATTTTATACCATACTATAAGAAATCTTGTATTAGTTGACTGGTGAGATAAATTCGGGAATAAAAGTCACATTTTGGATAATTTAGATGCTTTAGAAAGTATATTATAGTAATTGAAATAATGCATTATAAATTAATTCTCTGCTTGTATTAGAATTCAAATGAGGGAGAGTCAGTATGATGCGGGTACTTCTTGTGCTTGACCTACTAGACCTTAAGGGGCAGGGGTAGTGCTGCATCTGGTGGCCGTAGTAGTGGAGTCATTGCAGCAATTGGTGGGTTATTTACATCAGATTGACAGACAGAACCGTAATGAATGGGTTGATATGGAATAACCTGACACCAGGTTGAAAGCCATGGATCCCAATCTTCAGAAGAGCAAAAGCTCTAAGCAGCCCAGGATCGATTAGGGGCATATAAAAAAGTTGAGAAAGAAATTGGATTCTGCAATGGACAAGTTATATTTATTCAATCATATGTCTTTTAACATTGTTAACTCTGACATACTTTTTTTTTTCCCTTACTCATTAGTTTAAGGCAACTCTAACATACTTGATGTTGCTTCAGAGTGTCATCCTAGAGTTAAAGCCTAAAGTACCTACTCCACGTGAGCTAGCAGAGAAATATTTGCCTCAAAATGCAAAGGAGATGAGGAAATATATCAAACCATTTGAGGCAAACTAACAAACCCAAGGGAAGAAAATGTAGTTTACCCTTACTATACAGAATATAAGTCCAGCAGAACTCAATGCTAATATTAATAATCTATTTAAACTATTTCTTCATTTTGAAGATTATTAGCTTATTGATCCATTTCAGAGCCTTCAATCAATAGAAAAAAGAACAATAACAATACATAGTCCAAACAGTTGATTAGTGTTGGTAATGCTTCATCTTGTCTAATGAAATAATTACGGCAGACAAAAGTGATTGTGTTCAATACTTAATGACAACTTTTTACACACTGATTATTTATTTATTATGTTTGTGACAAATCGAATACAATTCGACTCTGAAACTGAATCATCCCATGTTCTTGTATTATTAATTCATTTTAAAGTTAGTAATTCCATGTTCTCACTCACAATAGAAAAAAATAGCAACAACCAATCACATAATCCATCAATAAAAATAAAAAAGAAAGGTTCTTTCACTGAAAATTCATCATAAAAAGTGGAAAAAGCAGCAAAAACTAAAGAAAAACTTCAGTAGTGAAATAAAGCTTAAGGTATCAAAAGTAAGTTGGAATAAATGTATATCAATTACACAATTACCTTTGCAATTCTGCAAATTGAGCACACGCAAGCCAGTGAAGCCATTGGCGATGACGGAGAGATCGGAGTCGATGACCCCCGGATAGAAGGATCTGGAAAGGGACTGAGAGAGGTCCAACTCGTGGAGGGCAGTGAACCTTGCAGCCATCTTCCGAAGCAAGTGGGGTCCAGCACGCGCGCAGAGCTTCTTCCTTTCAGTGCTCTGCAAATGCAGCCACCTCTTGCACACCAGTCCGAACACTTCCTTGTCCTTGTCGCTCTCCAGCTTCGCCAGTATCGCTCGAAGCTCGTCGTCCCTCAGGCTCACGTTTATGCAAACCCTAGATTCCATTTCTTCGGAAGCCATTGACGATCGAACCAAGCGATACTGATAGAAGAGGCGGATTAGAGTCGATCAGAAACCCTAATTACCCTTCAAATCATTCAAACACCCACAGACTCCATGCCTTCAAGATTACATAAATGCCCTTGATGTATTCCTATTACAACTCTGCAACTCGGCAGTTATGATGAAAATATATATTTGATAATATATGTTGACGTTGATGCGTGGAGCCCATTGTAACTAGTGATAAAAAGTCCAAAGAGTTCGCGATTATAGGACCAGGATCACCTGCAATCGTACAGTAACTCATTTTTTTCTTTTTGTGTCAGTGAATAGTAATTATTAAGGTGGGTAAAAATATTTATTTGTTTTATATACAATTTTTACACACACATACATATATATATATATATATATATATATATATATATATACACTGTTCACAAATACCATTTCTTCTTTCCTCTCTTACTTTTAGCAACCCATTTCAGCAACCCAAATCCTACCATTTTTTTCTCTCCCAAAATATTGATTTTGATTTCTTTCCAAAATTCCGCCATTTCAAGAACCCAAATTTTGATTTCTTTCCAAAATATTGTTTCTTTCTAAAATATTTCAAAAAAAGTGCGAACCAATGATGTTTGTGCTCTTTAGTCAAATAAGGAAAAACAGACCAAAAATCGAGATTTATATGAATAAATCTTAGATCTATGGATGATACACTGGAATTTCTGCATAATAATTCAATGAAATTACATGGGTTTTTGGAGTGTGTTTGGGTTTTGAAGTGAAGTTTTGAAGTTCAAAAGTTACTGTAAGTTCTTGGAGAGTCTATTAATAGAAGTTGATGAAGCTTTTAGAGAGAGAAAGGAAGAAGACGACATTTTGGAAGAAGGTATTTTGGATATACTGCATAACATTCCAAACAGTTTGTAATTTAAGTCAATATAAGTTGTACGCAACATTCCAGCATAATCCTAATAGATTATTTGTGCTCTTTAGTCAGATAAGGAAAAACAGACCAAAAATCAAGATTTACATGAATAAAGCTTAGATCTATGGATGATACTTTGGAATTTCTGCATAATACTTCAATGAAATTACATGGGTTTTTGGAATGTGTTTGGGTTTTGAAGTGAAGCTTTGAAGTTCAAAAGTTACTATGAGTCCTTGGAGAGTCCATTAATGGAAGCTGATGAAGCTTTTATAGAGAGAAAGAAGAAGACGACATTTTGGAAGAAGACAACGTATTTTGGATATACTGCATAATATCCCAAACAGTTTGTAATTTAAGTCAATATAAGTTGTACGCAATATCCCAACATAATCCTAATAGATTATTTGTGCATAACATCCCAACAGTTTGTAATTTAAGTCGGTATAAGTTGTAAGTAACATCCTAACATAATCCTACTTAACATCTCAAGCAATACGTATTTTGTATCCCAAGCAGTACTAACTATATTTCATGCTTATGTTATACGTAAAATCCCAACAAAATTCTACTAAAAAAATTGCGAACCAGTGATGTTTGTGCTCTTTAGTCAGATAAGAAAAAACAGACCAAAAATCGAGATTTACATGAATAAAGCTTAGATCTATGAATGATACTCTGGAGTTTCTTATGTTATACGTAAAATCCCAACAAAATTCTACTAAAAAAAGTGCGAACCAGTGAAGTTTGTGCTCTTTAGTCAGATAAGAAAAAAAGACCAAAAATTGAGATTTACATGAATAAAGTTTAGATCTATGGATGATACTATGGAGTTTCTGCATAATACTTCAGTGAAATTACATGAGTTTTTGAAGTGTGTTTGAGTTTTGAAGTGAAGTTTTGAAGTTCAAAAGTTACTGTGAGTCTTTAGAGAGTCCATTAATGGAAGTTGATGAAGCTTTTAGAGAGAAAGGAAGAAGACCACATTTTGAAAGAAGACATACAATATTTAAATGTGTTTATATATATAGAATACAATATTTAAAGCTTTTATATATAAAATACAAAGGTGGTAAAAAATTTAGTTACTCAAGATTTTTAATTGATGTGGCCAATTCTCCTCCACTTATTCCAAAATGGTGGAAATGGTACACTATGTGATTGGAGGTGATTTTCACCCCGTGATTATAAGCCCATTTGGCATAGCTTTGAAAAAGAAAAGTACAAACCATCACTTCTATTTAGCTTATGTATTAGTGTTTGAAAATTGCATTGTAGAAGAGTTTTAATGTTGTAAGAATTTTTTTTATCTGTTTGGCAAAAAGTTTGCTAAAGCTCTTCTATTACTAACATACCTATTTTGCCCTTCATTCAATTTGATCAAATTTATCTGTAACAAGCCATATATAATAATAAAAATAAAAATAAAAATAAAAAATTACAAAAACTATTTTGCGTTTTAAGAAATTTAGTAACAGTGTTTCAATATGCTATTAAAAAATCAATCAAATGAGCACTTTTACCATGTAAACCAATGAAACAAGTCCAAAACAATGGTCTAAATAACAAAATTAAGTTATTTTTTACCATGTAAACTATTTTTACCAAGTAATTTATTCACATGTTGATGCCCATAAAATGATCTAAATAACAAAATTAATTCTACTCTAAAGACGTTATTCCTACAGTCAATTATTTAATTATTTTTCTTTCCTTATTTTTTTTCAACATAATATATATTTAACTTATTTTGTAATTGTTTTCTTCTATAGTGTTTTGATAAATTAAAAAATAGAAGGAAACTAAAAACAACGCTTTACTTACCCAAAAAAAAAAAAAAAAAAAAAAAAAAAAAACCCAAAAAACCAACACTTTCCATATAAGTTCACTTTTTCTCAATTTAATTTTGAGGTGAAAAAAAAATTAAAAAAAGGAATTTTATTTTCTTTATTTTGTTGGTGTCCGTCTTTTATTATGCCTTAGCCCTGGAGATTTTTTTCATAACAATCATTAAGTAAATCATATAATATATATACACACATATTATATATATACACATATATTACCTGTATATACACCCATAACACAAACAAAACTGTGACAAAATAAAATTGAAGGAAAAAAGCATACGATGAATGATAATGAATCTGAGAACAGGCACAAAAAAATATAAATAAATAATAATAATAATTACAGATTGCAACAGGCATATATATATATATATATATATATATATATATATATATATATATAGTTCTCATCCTTTAGTGGCTTACTTAGGATTCTGCAATTTAATGATTTATTGGAGCTTGAACAACAAAGAAGAGAAACTAAAGAAGAATCTTCTTTTGGTTTCACTCCAGTTGAATGCTCTATCAGATCAGTCTTTTGAGTATGAAGGGGATATGTAATGATATATATATATTTTCTTTTTGAAAGAGGAGATGCAAGATTGCAGAGGCGAGATCCATAAACTAGGGTTTGGAAAGAAAATAAAGGGACTTTTATAGGGATATGCTTGAAATTATATTTCTTTGTTAGGTAATAAAAAAGGGTACGCTTGTCATTTAAAAAGTTTCATTAAAATATCAAAACTCTTCGTGTATTGTTTCAAAAGAGCGTTTTGAAAAAGCTGGGCCCCAGCTTCTTTAAAACATTCTTCTAAGGACCTAAAGCTCTTCTAAAATTTTTACCAAACACTGCTCAAAATAGCTTTTTAGTCCAAAAAGCCAAAAGCAGCGTTTAAAAAGTCAATCCAAACGGGGCCTATAAATCACATAATTTCTATATTTAGGAATTTGGGAGAGAATTAATTAACAAAGAATCATTTGCAAGTAAGGAAACAAATTAAACTTTTGTTCTCTCTCTTCTCTCCACAGTGTCTCTTTCTTTCTCTTGATTAACACGAGTTAAAATGGTTTGAGTTTGGCATAAACGAGTTTGGGTCATAAAAGGGTCGACACGATTAACCATTTTACTTAATCGGGTTAGGGTTGAGAAGTTCAACCCGTGCATCCCGTTTATGACCCATTTAACTCAATATGTTATAATAGTAAATATGACTTATTTAAACCCAATTACTATGGATAGTTAAATCATTTACTATGGATAGTTAAGTCATTTCAACATAAACCTTGTCTATGCTTTATGATTTTTCTTCTTATTTTAAATATTTGGGTTAATTGTGACAATTTTTTTCTATTATTCAGTATTTGATTAAATATTAAATGTCTCGCTTTGATAAACAGGTCATTAAACGGGTTAACACGTTAACTTGTTTAATTAACGAGTTGGGTTAGTGTTGAGGGTTCTTGACACGATAATTAAATGGGTTGGGTTTGGGTTTACCTATTTAGTATAATACTCTTACATTGACACGACACGATTATGACTCACGAACACAAATTGCTACCCCTACCCTCAACCAATCTGCCTATTTCTCTCTCTTAGTTTGAACACATAAATTTTTTAGGATGAGGCTATTCTAAAGCTCAAAAACATGAAAAAAAAGGAAAAAAAAAAAAATCAAAATATAATTAAACAACACCTAAATTTTTTGTGATAAAGTTATTCCAAAGCTCAAAAATGCGAACAAATAATAATAATAATAATAAATCTCAAATAGAATGAAATAGTGTCACAAACATGGTAGATGAAATCTAACTTACGAGAACCTAGTATGTCAGAGGAAGAATGGAATGCAGGTGGAGAGACTCTTTTATCGAAAGACAAAGGGATAACTATGAGAGAAAAAGATAGTTAAGGGTGTTAACCAAGAGAGAACGCGAGAGAAGAGAGAAAAAAAAACTTGATTTGTTTTCTTAAATACGAAATATTCTTTCTTAATTAATTGTCTCTTCCAAATCCTTAAAAATAGGAATTGTATTGTAACGACCCGAATCCAAGGGTCCGAATCTATAACCGGGTTCTTACCCGAACTCGAGGTCGTATAAGGGCACTTTGGTCAATTCTAAGGTCGTAGATAATATGCATGCCATCCCAATGCTTATACCCCCCAAAAAAAAAAAAAATGAGATCACAAATACAAAAGATGTCAAAACAGCTCCCTAACCGATTTAAACTTGTGAAGGAGTGTCATCTGCCACTTCCTTCCTATGACCTGAAAAATGTAATAATATGATGGGGTAAGCCAGCCACTCAGTAGGAAGTGTCTAAGACA